ACCGCTGATTTAAATCAATGTTTCAAATATACCTTTAAATTCTTCCCATCTTTTTGGTAAAACCACTATGCCATCATTATTAAATTTCTTCGGTTTCTCGTTAAAATATTTTTCAATGTTACCTCTTAGGGAGTCGGTATTGTCAGATTTGTTGCCGACTAAAAAATTATTGCAATGTATGAAACAGATGGTAATCTGTTGGTGCAATATCCGGGGAATATGGTGGGTGTGATAAAATTTCCCTACTGAGTTGACGTAATTTTTTTACACGCTTCATGTCACATGTGAACTTTAACCCTTTAACCTATAACAACGTGTCAGACTCGTGACAGAGATTCTGCTGAAGGCGTGAGAAAAATAGTTACATTAGTAAGAAAAATTCATTGTAATCCTAACTTTCGTTTGAATTCGTAAGACTGAGGATTACTGAATGTAATTAATCTGTAACAGGTTAGCCTTTGTTACCTGATACAGTACTTAAACAGTAAATGGCTGACGCTTAGATGTATAGACAGAAAGGAAATCGTAGATTAAGGGGTTAAATGTCACATGTTCTATGTCACTTTGTTCCGATTTAAGAGTCCTGGTCGTTTCGCTGCTAGTGCTTCTCTTAACTTTTCTAACTGAGCACAGTACAAGTTTGAATTAACGGTTTCATTTCTCGAAAGTAACTTGAAATACAATACGGTATAACAGGAAAAGTATAAACACATCGCGGTACGAATTTATTGGATGATCTAATATTTCTTAAGTATGTACTTACTTAGTGGTAAGGCGTGTTTGTAGAAAGTTGTGCCAGTTTGTGTCACCTATTTTCCTCTATTTGGTGTTTTCATATGGTGTAGTCTGTTGCGACGTTATTAGAGCGTAACGAAGCCTCGGTCTGGGGGATTATCGCAATAAACGTGTTACTCACATTTGGCCTCCAGACCGGTGTTCAGAACAATCATCAGACCACCATAGCCCCCGTGGACGCATCAGCGCCAATTGTTTGCAACAAATTCGGTTCCCAAAATCACACAACACGCCGCACTTTCCACCTCCACAAGACAACCACCAATGAGAACTCACCTATTGTCTATATGTACACCAACACGCCATAGTACACGAGACTTTTTGTAACGAACAGTAACGCGAATAGTAACACATTGTTGAGCGCAGCGATTTATGGTACGGACGTGAGGAAGAGGCTGTTTTTGTGATTAGGACTTTGGTTATTGTTAGCATGCGTCTCAAGTAGAAAATTATCCTGGCGAGAGAAAGTTCGGTTTACAACGCTAGAGTTTTAGAAACTCGCTTCTCTCGTCCTCAATAGTCAAGTGCCTTGCCGTAACAAAGGGCCTTCCAAAGGGTAGACATAGAACAGTCGCAACGGTCAGGACACCGGCGAAGTCGTACCTGGCGGAAGTTCCATGCTGTCGCCAGACATCGCCACTCGAAGCTCAGGACATCGCAACTCCCTCTCTAAGGTAACGCGCGTTGAGGGAGCAAGAGAAGGGTGTTGCGATGTCACCGAAGCATGCTGATTGGGTCTTTGGGATTTTCCAAATTACCCAATCAGCGTGCAGATAGAAGAAGGAAGAGGCGACTTGGAAGGAGCGTCGCTTCCTTCGACAGGAGAACACAGAATCACGATGACAGTAAGAACAGCATCATCAGACAGAACACATAGAACCACAGTAACAGTCATGTAACAGTCATAGTTGGAAAGCTCCACAGTAGTCACTGTCCGAGCAAATTAGGCTAAAATTGAAGCCTACGCATAATTAGTTAAATAAATAAAATAACACAGTTAAGCACAAAGTGTGCTATTTCGTTCCCAACCAATACGTTGGGTGGTCCTTCGAGGAGAACAACAGACGGCACTAAGAAGGGTGCAATATACTGGGACGGCACGGTAACCAGTACCGTTTAAGTCCTCAACACACATAATAACACGTCCGAATAGTAACACGGAACATATCACGTCAGAATAGAAAACATTAAAATCACGAAGAACACGGTCTTACAATAAGACAGAAACACATTATTTCAAAGAGATTATCGGTAAACGAACCGATACGCAAGCGGGATTTACGACCCCGCGAAATTCGAACGGAATTGCGGTATCTTGGACGCAACATAGTCTTTGTATAGTTCGCTTTTCTGCAATATTATTATAAATATTCTATGAATCGAAATTTTTCCTTTTCCACATTGGATTATCACGTTTCCACTAGGTATGGACATTGATGACGCTAAAGGATGATCTAAAGACCACCATCGCGAGCCTTCCTTACGTAGTAAGCTCTCTCATCATAACTATTAAATATTTCACCTGCTATCTAAACTACAACATGGTAAATCAACGAAATTCAACTCTACGGAGAATAATATTCATCAGTCTTCCGAGTGAATATACTTTCAGATAAAAAAACTGTTCGTTACCATCGGTGAAAACTGGATGGAATTGAAATGCAAGAATGAAATGAATCTGATGGAGAAGTATACTCACGATGGCTACCTCTATACGGTATTCTTTACATGTAAGTTTGCACAATTTGTTTGGTTGTAAAATTTAAGTATTTGCCGAATACATAGATTAGCCGTCACGGTCAGGAAATTATTTCACGAGCGTCTTCTTCGAAAACTCACACACCCCGACACTACGTGCGCTAGGCCCAACGAAAGAGGACAAATTTGACCCTTAAAGCACCGTTATTCTCGATTGAACAATAAGACAATTTTTATTATCAAGTTCCTGTTGTTTTGCTACAATAGACACACCTGAAACACAGAAACACCAACGAAAATACACTTCAATCACCTTCTACATAGCAAGAACCCACTCAGAAGACAGACAATGTTCATGAAACATAATGCACGGACGATCAAGACACTTTTTTGCACTATTCCCGTAGTATACCGGGTGTTACCTAAGACTGGAAGCTGAAATATTTTGAAAACTGTTAATTGTATCGAAAAAGGCTTGAAACAAAAGTTGAATACCCCACAAATCTTACCCACCGATACCTCCTAAACAGGGATGAACCCTCGGCATGCGAACAGTGCAAAGTTCACTTGACGGTGGAGCATATTATCATTCGCTGCAGCAGATACTCCATCGACAGACAACAATTCAGCGTAAGACACACCTTGCGCGGCAACTTGAGGGACTGCAAATCGATTCTTACTGAACTACTTAAAGCATACCAAATTGTATAATAAACTGTGAACTTAGACATTAAGTCGCTAATAACCCATAAATGTGGTTGATGCGACTTTAAGTAACCAATTAAAAAAAAAAAGAAGAAAAAGTTGAATGGTTTAGAGGGGAATTTTAGCATTTTTGTAAGTCGACGCGTCGAGGATATACGAAGGTGAAGTTTGCTTTTGTAAATGAAATCGTGTATTTTTTAATACATCAATCGATTCAACTCATTATTCTCTATAAAAAATTATTAAGCTGTTTATACCGAGAAACAATTACCTTAGAAGATATTTTAATTAAAGTGTTACGGAATAGCACTCTTACAACCAATTGCTGCTGATTACACGAGGTACTTTTTCCTATAAAATGACAGAGGTTAACAAGTCAAATTTCGGGTGTGATTATGTTCCCTACGGATGACCTATTGTGGAAAAATTTGTATAAGACTAGAATTTATAACGTGTACAGGTCGTGTAATGTTTCTTCATTTCATGTGATTCGACTTAAATCATAATCATAAATTCATTACATTATTACATATTACCTATTACAAAATGTGTTCAAAGTGATGACTGTTGGCATTTAAAATTTCTGCAATCTAATCCTTGAAGAATACTGCACACGACTTAAGATCTCTGTCTCACTTTAAAATGGTCTCACGGACCATACGTGGGAGATCAGTGACATTTTCCAGACATAGGGAAAGTGTTAAGGCGTATCCTGTAGCCGGATTTATGGCAGCGAGTCAAGTGGTCACCGTTGCAGGCAAATATCGTTTCCTCAAAACACCACAAGTGTTTATTGCGTTGCCTGCGACACTTAGTCCCTAGGACCAGACCCTGTCATAAATCCTGGAGTCTCCGAAGGGAAAAATAGAAAAGTGACTTTTGCCAACGTCGACGGGCCACTTGACTTTAACAAAGCCTAGAAAAGCGGAGATTCCACAGGATTTCCACGCATCCGTCCACCAAACACTCTCCAGTCATTGTACACCCCACCCTAAGATAACGCGCTAAGGGCGAAATGGAGGGAGGTTGCGATGCACCGGAGTAAACTGATTGGTGATTTTAGAAAAGGAAAAATGGGAGTCTCCGTCGAGGGAAACCGCGGAGACTCCGGCAGAATAGACTCTAGACCTCGAAACAAGTCAGAACATAGACTACAAGTAAAACTACGACAAGTAAAACAAGTAAAACTTAGTGTTTCAACCAAGAAACTCGTCCTTAGTAGCCTTAGTACATTAGTCGGCACACAGGTGCAAAAACCGGCAACGCTCGAACGATCGAAAGATCAATCGCAAGCCCTAACAGAAAGTTTTGGGCCTAAGTTTCAAGGGTTTGTGCCCATTGTCGATTTTCACTAGCATCAAGGCGGCTAATCGCAAAATTTACGACCATCTACGAGCAGTAACGTAAAAAATCCCTATTTTACAGGGCTTACTATTGTCTCTTGTTGCTTAATATCGACTCTGGGGTTGATCGTATTAATTTTCCGACAAAAATTCTTGGAGTCTGCGAACAACCTTCTACTGCTACTTCCTTCTTGGATTTATGGGGATACAGTGGACAGCAAGGTCTCTGTATTGCTGTTCTGCGTTATTTTCATCATGATAATTGCAGTTATGTTGACCACGGATCTGATTTACATTACTCTTACATATCATGCATGTGCAATGATAAGTGTAACGGGGTAAGCCAATAGAACAGCCTTCTTTTCAGGGAAATTCTATTATTATAATGTATGTTGCTGTTTAGACACAGACTGCAGCATCTTTTCGACGATGTTAAGAGGATGAGGAACACCGAGCAGAAGAATACTCTGCTTCATGTGCGAGTTGCTAAAGCTATTAGATACCATTGGAAATGCATGAAGTTCGTATCACAGTGATGTACATACAGGGTGTTTCAGTACGCTGATAGATTCAGTACGCTAAAATAAGAAAAAAAGTTCATATGAGCATATGCTCGATATGACCTTGTTTCCGAATTATAGCCGTTTTTATGTGAAACCTGTTATTTAATAATTATCATAGAAATTGTTCGAAGTGGTCACCCTCGGCTAGAATGCAGGCTTCCAAACGTCGTATCAATGTAAATTATCATTCAAATTGTTATGAAATGTATTAGATGATCACTCCAAATTATTATGAAGTGCATTAGCAAATTTCCACATGTGCTGTTACCACCAAGAGCATGATTAAACTGATTGAAACAAATTACGAAATAGTGTTTACATAGCAGACCAGAAGGTCGTGCACGAGATAAGAAGCGTTACTTGTAAATAATTAAAAGAAGCAAACAACAGAGTTGTGGCGACCGCCACGGGGGGGCCACGCACTTAGGTCTGTCGACTCTTGGCCCTCTTCGTCCTCGAGGACAAGAGTATTGCCTCGGCAATGCAGGCCCGCGCTCCCACTTCCTGGGACTTTCCCAGGGAAAAGGGGCTACTTAAGGGAGCCCCGAAAATGGCACGAGGCCTTTTGTCGTAGACCTTCTCTGCACGCGCATCACATAGTTTACATTTGAAATTAGTTTAAGCATTACGTTTAAATAAATATATTTTCGTTATCCACTTGGTGAGTAATCATTTGCACCACGTCACTTCCAAAGAGTCATAAGAATTACTGGAAGACAAGAACGGAAACAAGGTGATGTCGGGCATACGTTCATATGAACTTTTTTTCTTATTTTAGCGCACTGAATCTATTCCCGAAGTTATACCCACATTTTCGGAAACACCCTGTATATAGGGGAAGAAAAACATGGTTATGGGGTTACGAGTTTTGAGAAATATTTCACTATTGAATCTCCAGAGTGATAATAAGTAGACGTTTATACGATCGTTTCTCTCAATGTTCAATATTTGCAAGGATATTTAATTGTGAATATTCAATTAGCGTAATATTAAATTGAAATTCAATATTGGAGATCATTTTTCAATTGTTTCTTCTTCGAATACAAATTTAACTGGCGCAGATTATAATTTAATGAAATATCGGAAAAAGTGTTCGAATAATTTCAGAAGAATTAATAGATTTCATTTAGCTACACTATTATTCTTCCCCTTTCGAAAGGTACGTCAATGGCCTGGAATCGTGTTACACTGTCTCCTTGTTCCTGCAGCATATTATGATCACCATAGTGATCACCAGTAAACTCTACAGAGTAAGAATTTTTTATTTCGTAAGAATTTATGGCGTGTAAGTTTTCAAGATTATTCGAAGACGTCTGTCTAATTATGAACAGGTGTACAGCTTTTCGATGACAGGACGCGCGAATTTAATCATTGTTTCGGTCGACATTGCTTACACACTTGGACTCTTATTTGCTAACGTGTACCCTGCGGAAAGACTGACAGATTGTGGCCAGAATCTCTATCACAACGTGTAAATATTTTCACGATACTTTATCACGAACAACTCAAGCTCGAAGTGAATATCTTTGGATTGAAATTCTTTAGATACAATGCACATTGGTACGACACGCCAGCAAGTACTCAGAAGGTTATCCAGATAATGTTGCAAAAAATATCCGAGCCCTTTTACTTTGGAATTTCAGGATTATTTTCTGCATCGTTCGAAACGTGTAGCAAGGTACACACATACATGAATATTAATTAATATCCGAGCCCTTTTACTTTGGAATTTCAGGATTATTTTCTGCATCGTTCGAAACGTGCAGCAAGGTACAAACATACATGAATATTAACTAATTTATCGGTAAAATATTTCTACATATTACTGCATATGTATTATTCCTAATTGCTATACTTACCAATTTGTTTGTGTATTCATATTGAACATATTCCACTGTAATTATATTACTTTAGATTGCACGATTTCCATTATCGTAATGAACTTGACGTTATCATTTTTTTTCATGAATTATTCATTAACATAGTCCATAAAAATTCTATGCATTCAAGATTCTACAGTTCTCCTTCTCATGTTTCACTATGATATGTACCATACGAGCGTGAACGACAACTTGGCCCAATATTGCCATTCGGACGACACAGTCAACTGTAGTTCATCGATATCCTGATCGGCAATAAAGTATTGCATCAATATGACACCTCACTTTCTCCTTTACCTGTCAAAAAAAAAAGAAAAGAAGAATCGAAAAAGCATCCAATATCGTATCTGTAGGAAGCAGGCGTTAACAGGGAAAGTCACAAATACGGTCGATCGAGGCTCTTGTTGTCCTCAACCCCCGATAGGCACGTGCGAACGAGTGGTGAGTGTGTGCATGCGTGAGCGTCGATCACGAGAATGTTTGATGTACCGCGGCCAGGCAGGTGAACGTTGACGTCTGCACAAACGAGCGGCGGGCGTTAAAGACTGTTGATTCAAACGTACAAAATTTAAAGGGAACGTCGAGAACATTCCGCCGACGCGCCGATAAAGGGACGTGCCCGCGGCGCGCGCAGCCGAGATACGATTACGATAACCAGTACGATTTACGTATTACGATCTCTTGCTTATTACGACGTGTGTGTTACTGTCTCGATCTTGTTTTTGCCGTCTCCTCATCTCCGCGATTAACGAATAGATACCATAAGGGGGTCTTCTAGTGTGACGGTTTGAAAGTACAACTCTTTAAGAATGTACTTCTGAAGTTTTATAGTTGTATTCAATAAAATAACGAAGCTATAGCTCGTTTAGTGTGACACATCAAGGGAGAATCTAAATTGCACTCAAAACTTTAAACGCGTTTTTCTCGGAACCATGTTTTTCGAAATGGTGTCCACGATATCTCAAGATCGACTTCACCAATTAAGGCCAACTTCTGCACACATGTCCAGCACACATGTGGCTATCACCCCTACCACAATTGTCTCAAAATATTTCTTTTTTTTTAATTTTGACAGTCCCGTAAAGTCGAAAGAAATGTATGAAAATCAAAACTCAGTTTCTAAGTGACGTTATTTTTTAAATTTACAATATCTTTCTTTCATTCTGGTACCGGTTATAACCAAGGACATACAAATAAGAAATCCTTTTGAATTTTTTGTTTTAGATAATCAGAAACCGTCCAATAGTGGACACCGTTTGGGCACCGCTTTTTTTCAAGAGCAGCTTCAAAGCGGTCCACTTCGGTTAATTTTAATCTTTTTGTTTTCAAAAAAATTGAAAGTGTAATCGAAATGTTATTAAGTATGCAGAAAAAAACAGGGTTGCAGTAACTTTCAGAAGTTCCTCATAAAAAATTCTGAAATAACGCAAAGAAAACGCTTCGTTACACTAAAAGACCCTCTTAAAACAGTCTATTCCTACATATCTTGTAATATACAATACATTCTGAAACAAGGAACATGCATTTGCTTCTAAACGAAACATTACTCGTGTTTTAGCGGTAACTAATTTTCACAATGTCCACTCGTCTATCACGACGTATTTCGAAACAAATCTACCCTCTATCATGAATTCTCTAGTCTTCGTTTGTTCAAAAAAATATCCGATTGTCACTGTGCAAAGCTGAAAATAAAATTGCCACAAATTGAACGCGCACCACCGGGCTCACTACGATGATTTGTGATACTCGTTAGCACCAAATTTAATCCCACATCAATTTCAAGCATCAACCCGAAACATTGGTAATAAGAAATAAATACTGGTAATATACGATACATACAAAATCCAGTTACCCTCTTTGAAAGACGGAGAGACGACAACGAAGTGAGGTATGTTCTTCTGAAAGAAGATTTTCACTCTACGAAAGTTGAAAGCAGAATGCTCTGTTTCGAATTGTGCTACCCTTCAAGAAAGCTATAGCTGCATTCTATAGCTTCTATATTTTTCAAGAAAGTGTGCAGAATTTCTAAAGTGAAGCATAATTGCACCTTGCGGGACATTATCGATTCGATAAAAGTGATGGTTTACGTGCAACAGAGACGAAGAAAATTATAGTAAATTCAATGGGAAGCAATTTCATAAAAATTTCTCCTACAAGGGTTTAACCAACACGTGTATCATTCGCCGGCGACCAGTGTTCATGCTCGAAATACAATATTATAGCGTATATCGCCTTGCTGGCGTGAAAATAAGGAGGGAGTCAAGATATCACGTGGGACATACACCCTGTATTTATCTTATGTACCACGATTACCGTGAGAAATTCGAGGGGAACATCATTCGAGGGATAAGGGACGATTGGCGGCAGTCGTGTTTTGACTTTCGAGCCGCGATGAAGTTCTTCGAGCAGAGCTGTATCAAAAAATGTTACCCGTTTTTGCTTCGTGCAGGTCTGTGGCCTTTCGATTATTCGAAAAGAAAGGTGGTGCATAGAATCTGTCTTTGCGTATATCACTTATCCTTTATTAGTGTTCAGGTGTGATGTTTTGTTTTGATAATGCATATAAATACTTTTAACGTGATTTTCTTTTACGTGTTTAACACACCGAATTACTTTTGGTGTCTCATGCAAGTAGGAATATTATTAACCCACTTGTCTCTTAGTATAGACTCATATACTACTTTGTGATAAATTGCACATGTAAGAATTAATTTGACAGACTCAGTACTACCAGTTATGTATCAATCTTTATCACCTAGCAGGGCGTTAATATAATAAATTATTAGATATTACAATATCATAAGGCAAGGGGTTAAGAATGTTCTCTGATCGAAAATATTGTTAAAAAATTGACTACTTCATCGATTAATATAAGAAGTATTAAGTTAAATATTTTGGAAAGTTTATATAACCTACTTATAGGTTTTCGTGTACTTCACTACCGAGATTAATTTGCGTCTGCTTATTGACACGATCCCGGCCTTAATGATCTACATGATAGTGTTCCTGAAATATGTAACAATTTGGGTGAAAAACGAGGCGGTAAGTCGCGGACAAGGATCTAAGAAAATTACCGAGAAAATTAAATGCTTCAAGGGGGTCTTCTAGTGTGACGGTTTCAAAAAATCAATTTTTATTTTTTTGTATATATCGAAAGTACAACTCTTTAAGAATGTACTCCTGAAGTTTGATGAAATAACGAAGTTATAGCTCGTTTAGTGTGACACATCAAAGGCCGGCGATAGGGAGAATCTAAATTGCATTGAAAACTTTAAACGCGTTTTTCTCGGAACCATGTTTTCTGAAATGTTTGCCACAATCTGGCAAAAATTACTGAACCAATCGAACTCAAATTTTGCACATGTCTTCAAAACATGTGTGGCTATGGTCGGTAGTAGAATTATGCCAAAATATATATTTTTCTGATTTTTAGAGCCTCTGAAAGACGAAAAAAAGTCGAAAAAATCGATACTTTGTATTCAAAATGCCGCCATTTTTTAAATTTTCAATATTTTTCTTTTATTCTACTACCGACCATAGCGACATACATACTAAATAAGAATCAATCGGATTTGTTTATTTCTGATAAGCAGAACAGCTCAAATCATGGCAACCATGGACCTACTTTTTCTTTTTCATGCTCCTGTTTGACGTATTCCACAGCAGCCATATTTAATTATTTTTCAACAACAAAAATTTGTAATGATTCTTCAAGGACAAATAAATGCATAGGAATAAAGCTCATGTTTATAACTTTTACCGTACTTCTGTAATAAATTAGCAAACAAGGCTTAAAAAAACGGCCGTCACACTAGAAGACCCCCTTAAACAGAAACAGATCGAATATGGTGCATTTCTCTACATCTTAACTATATAAAAAAAGAAATTACTGATAATTATCACTTTATCACAGTATAACCAGGGATACGAGCACATGAGGATCGACTGGTGCAAGTTGAAAGATGTTGAGGAGATCAACACCTTAAACCGAGAATATTCGAATGCATCGAAATATAATATGCTTTTATTTCGTAAGGAAATCCAGTATTATTCCAGTAGGGAGACATTTAACCCTAAAATGATCGATTTTTCCATTATTCCAGTGTTCTCATTTTTGCTACTCCTTGGTTTCGTTTTCTTGCAAATTCTCCCGCAAATTTTAGGCATAATTTCACCTCTAACCGAGATCAATACTAACAAATTACTCGTTCGAACCGAATACTTTGTCGACTACAAAGATTACATTTATCTAATCACGATCCACGCGACTATAGCAATAATGTGTAGTGTGACTATGCAAATTAGCAGCGATATTTTGAATAACATATTTATGATGCACATCAGTGGAATGTTCGAGGTAATTGGGTAAGTTCAAAATAAATATAAGGATTTGAATCTATCGGTAGATTTTTGTAATTAATTGCGACTTGGAAATTTCTGTGCATTCTTCCATACATAAGGATTGTTGTCGAGCATCTGTTCGACAAATGCAAAAGTGCTGACGAGAATATCGACGAAAATCTGATTTTCTACACACGGTTGCTGCGTATTATGAACATGCACAGAAGAAATTTAAAGTTAGTGTCAGTTAATTAATGCTTGTGTCTATAGACTATCAAAAGAAGATATCATGTGATTATTGTGATTCTTGCTTTGAAGACTTTTCAAGATATTTGAAGTCTGTATGTTCAGCAATGGCGTGGCCCAAATACTGCTTGGAACCATTTGCATGACTGGAGTAATGTTAAAAGTAAGTCGCATATTAAGGAACATTGTTGATTCTAAAAGTTTCTTAGAATTAAGGCTATATGGTAAAGCAGTTACTTTACTATCACGACGATTTATTGTTTAATAGTATGACACAGTTTTGTAAGGTCTGTGCGTTAATGTCCAGTATTGTGAAGTTCATAATGTTGCGTTTAAGAGTCCAATACTTTCTGTATTGAAGACGTTCTATTTGAAGGAGCAACTCCTTTCGTCCATGTTACAAAAACGCTGCCTCTAAGTAGCATCTTTAAGAGAAATGCAGAAAAGTAGGACTTAGAATAGTCCAATTAAAAACTGGGGTGGCTTCCCGATTACTCAACGCCTACAGGTCAATTATTTCGTCCGGTCAACCAGATCTGCAGGACGTCGTGCAAAAAGTCCCTTGTTCGGGAAACCGGCATATAAATCTTAGGTCCTTCTTTTCACTACGTATGGGTTTGCGACAAGTCAATTGCGGTTGAGAGTGACCTGGCTGGGCAATCTTTTGAGAGAAAGTTGTTATCTTTTAGACAGACGCAAGTTCTTTACAAAATTCACAATCCTAGGCAAACAAATTGATTTTCTCAAAAACGGCACTGTTCTGTGACTTTACAAACGACTTTAACAAACATTTAAATATTTGCAGTCAACTTTAAAATGAAGCGTAATCAAGTGAGTCAAGTGTATTTGGACCAAACCGATAGACGTGTGATCCAAGAGTATTTGAACTGGAGCGATGAAAGTGTGAGAGGAGTGTGTTTGACCAGAGTGCGTGAGATTATAGAATGTATGGTACAGGTGCAATGATAAATGGTTATGAAAAAAGCACATTATTGCCTCATCCTGTGTCACATTTTTTCGTAACCTAACATTCCTTCAATAAGACCGTGTTTTTCCTTTTCTTTTAGATGCTCCAGATGATATCGTCGAATGAGAATTTTGAATATAAGTTTTTCGTAGTCCTTATCGCGTTCGTATATTTGTCAATTATGTATGTCAATCTGTCACCCGCTGAAAAAATTATTCAGAGCAGCGAGGTTCTATTCTTCAAAACGTAAGATCCTTCAAATTAACAAACTAAATTAACCAGTAACGGAATTTCGATTGTACGAATCACTTTCGATTAACTTATTGACTAAAAAATTCACCCAAGAAAAAAAAGAAGAAGATCTGACATAACAATTTTATCAACATCTTGTTTCTCTATTCCTTTAACATTTAGCTATTGTGCAAAATGGTACAAAGCCCCAGTAAAATCTCAAAAAATGCTACTGTTCCTCATGCACAGATTCATGGAACCGTGCAGGCTAAAACTGAAATCCTTAGTTGCCGCGGGTAACGAGTTGTACGCTACCGTAAGTGTTCCTATAATGACCAACAACAGAACCATGCACAAGTCATCCATATAACACAAATATTTTCATTCAAGATGGTGCAGACTGGTTTCTCCTACTTTACGGTTCTCTACTCGTTGCAAGAATAATCGAACAACGTGTGAGATCGTTCATCCGACCTAATCCGCGGGAATACAGAACGGTGAAGTATAGTAGTATGTCGATACCGTGGACCAATTAAACTAACGGGGATATTGCGTAACTGTAATTACATCCTAATCGTACGCGTTCTACTCTGATACCGTGCGATTTTATGCATCGTAATGTAGTTTGTAACGACAGTTGGCGCGGTCGCGCGATCGTCGTGAGTCTCGTGAGTTTCGCCGTGAGCACGAGTGCGCGTCACTGGACCAAGGGGCGGGGATTTGTCGGCATTGTTTTAATTGGCACCTATTAAATGTTTTATAATAATGAAGGATGTGTTAATTGTCTCTCCGTTCCTTTTGTGTATGAATGATACGATTAATCAATGCTCTTCATCGCTCACGAAATTTCAAGTAACTACATACATTCATACATTCGAAATTTTGTGCATCGTCGTAAATTTGGTGGGAGAGGAAAAGAAGCGTTTCTTATCCGTTTCGAGACTGTATTAATCTAGGACTATGGGGGAAATTTTTTTTTTTTGTGGTTTAAATTTGTTTATGCATTTGGTAATTATAGGGAAAAGAGCATCCCTCGCGTATTTTAGTGACTTTCGAATATGTTGTAAAGGACAACATTCTGAGTAACGTTCCCCTATATACATTACCGGCCAAAAATTTGGAATCACCTGCCAATTTACATCGATATTGAATCTGCTATTAATTCTTCATTGATTTGAAATTGATGTTCTGGAGACCAATAGAACTTCACCTCATTTCAATTGATTTGAACGATAACAAATTCGTTAAAAAATTATTATAAATGTTAACTTTCTTTTTAAGAATTTTCGTGCAACTTGCAATGCATAGTGATTCCAAACATTTGGCCGGTAGTGTAGTCGTGCAGTACCGGCCAGCTTACAGTACCGGCCAAAGCTAGATCTCGCTTATACTGTTAGTTGACTGCACTATTGATGGATAAACAAATAAATACTATAGCCCTGAGCAACGTATTCCGGCGACGTTCTTTTTTCTTCAGTATTACCAGAGTTCTAAGACGTTTAACGTTTACGCTGGTGTTCCGTACGACAAAAGTTATTTTTCATAGCTGATTTCTAACTTTTCAGGTAATTAAATAATTTTGTTATAGTACGTACATTATTTTTAGACTATTAGGTATACATAAATGCCCCGGTTTGTGCAATTTGCTTTGTATATTACGCATTAAACCTAAAAGTTTTTCCATATGCTTGTCGTGCTGTACCGGCCACCCTATAGTCGCCCAGTACCGGCCAAACTTTTTTTAAATATTTTCCCATAATTCAAGTCGCTAGGTTTTTCTGCAGAAAAATGTCCGAAATGAGCAAGTGTATCTTCTGATTTTATGAAAATTGTTAAAAACATCAGTCCTGCAAATAATATTCCAGAAACAAGGATAACACAGAGAAAACGACGGACGCGACAGTCTGAAATTCTAACATCAGTGTCTTTTATAGAAGATGTTCAGGGAAAAAAGAAACTGATTAATGAGAAAAAATTGAAAGCAAAAACAAGAAAAGCTGAGAAAATACTAAAGAAAAATGAAAAAATCAAGAGAGGAAGGAAGTTACGAGAAGAGATAAGTAAGAAAAAAGATAGCTCACGAAGAAGGAACCTAGGTATTGACGAACAAGTCACCGAGTGCATCATTTGTAAACAATCCTTCAACGAAGATTGGGTGCAGTGCATCAAATGCAACGGTTGGGCTCACGTGGAGTGTACGGATCAAGAAAATATCGATCACTTTACCTGTGATATTTGTAGACGTGCCTAAATAAAAGTTCTATTCTATTTTTAAATGATTTTTACTAACATTATTTATTACTTAGACCTTCAAATCTACTAAGTAGCTGGCCGGTACTGTACGACAATTTTTCGTTCGCTGCAAATTATAACTTTTCTATTTCTACGAATTATTTATCTTTATGAGAAAATTTAAGAAAAACGATTTGCCCCTTTTTATTAAGCACCCTTTTTACTACAAATTACTTTTTTGAAATTTCATTTTTACCAACATTAGCCCAAGTTATAGTACAAAAACTTAGAGTGGCCGGTACTGCACGACTCTCCCCTATATCAAATCGGCCCGTGCCATTTTTCGCATGTACTGCATAATCTTTATCGATGTGGTTTTTTAATTCACTATAGGCTTTAGATCCGCAAGTTACATTTTGTAAATTCTTAATTAGCTTCGTTCTCGAGTCTCGTAAAGTTCATATTGCCACGCAATATGGTTTTTTCCGTTATTATTAGGTTTAAAAAGGGCTCGTTTATATCTCTCTTTTTGTACATTTATTATCTACACACAGAATGGACCATAATCTAATTTGATCACCTTAGATTACTCTGTTGTTAGTGGACCGATTGAAGTCATTTTCATGTCGCATAACACGGCTGAAAGAGCCATTTTAGATGACTATAGTAAATTTATTTCGATATTTTCTAGGTTACCTTCGATTTTTTACGGATATACCTGTAATTCTTTTACGCATATGTTTTAGCGGATACTGAGACGAGTTCGAAAAGCGTAATGAAATATCTTTTTCTCCATTTGAACTAAAGGAATAATAAAAAAAAGATCCCGGTAAAAAAGTAGCCTGACAATAAAAAATAGCACAGATGTCGTAAAAAGAAAAAGGTAAAGGAAAGGTCAGATAGGACCGTCGACGATAACCTTCGAAGAAAAATTATTGAAAACGATCCACTGTGAAGAATATGAAATTTTGCTACATCCTCCCCTAGTCACTCGAACTTTCTCGAACAGACTGTCATTTCTTCAAACACCTGAACAACTTTTCAACAAACAAATAAATCCTGAAATGAGAACACCGTAAAAGTAACTAACCAAGGACTAATAATTTTTCTAAATTTATAATAATGAAACCACTTTTGTATAATTACTTTCCTTCGTTTTCCATATTTCGTTATTCTTTTTATTATAGCAGAAACGTGAGTTACAGCATTATAAATAGTGGTAAACTTACTTCTATACACCTAGGAAATAATTAAAAAAGAAAAAAAGAAAAAAATAATTTTTGGCACAGCAAGTTGAGAAAAATGTAAGAGTTAAGGGGTTAAATCTTTGGGAGAGAAAGTGTACAGTATCGTCTGGAAATCATTTCAATGAAATACATCATGTTTGTCTAAGAAACACGACGTATCTAAACTTTCGTTAAAAAAAACATGCACCGACCTACATTATAGAATGCGTAACAAATACTCTTATAATACCACCGTTACCTAGTCACGATTCGATACACGTTAACATCAGCCCCTCCTTTTCATCCCGATAAGAATAAATGCCATAATAATACGAAACAGCACGTTATCTGCAAGTTTCCACGAAGAGGTTCGGCGTTTCGAACTCACCCTCCCGCCCCTATTTCACCGCTGCATCTCGCGGAAACTTTCCTCGCCCGGTCTGCATACACGGTGTTCCTCTTATTACGATTATTATCGTTCCCCCTAATTTCCTTTCGGGCGTCGCTCGATATTATGTAGAACACGTTAGAAAGTTTTCATTCCGTCCCGGCAGGAAAGTTTCGCCGAACTAAACTCCGTAAATCGCATGACCGCGATGCCGTGTTCTCCAGGCGGCGTAATGGGTTTCTTTGTGACCTCCACTCCAGTGCAGCATACAAAGTGTAAATTATTCTTCCGCCCTTTCTCTCTCTCTCTCTCTCTCTCTCGACCCAACCACCAACCCCTCCCGATACTCGATGAAAACGTATTTCATCTTTCGAGATCTATCGGGTTCTACCTGAGGGAACTTCGAGTCGTCGTTTATTCTTCGCTACGGGCGGCCGGGAAGTATTACGAATTCTAACGAGCTGCCGGGATAGATCAATTTCTGTTTTACGCGACATTCGAAAGGTTGGATTGCGTCGTTTGGGGGAAATGATCAGGTCTGTTTATTAAAGACTTTATTAAAACTTGCGCTCTGCCACTACAGACGGGGGTGTATTGCATAAGTTGAAAAAAGTGACGCGTAATTTTACGTTGGTTACGTGGAAAATTTGCTTGTTAAACTGGAGAGATAAATAGGTGCATCGTCACTCTATATTTAGGGTAAATTTCAAACTCCGATGTTCACCCTATATTTAGACTGTGTAACTTTGATCCCAGTTTTCTCAGCTTGTGCTTCATTAATTGTAACGACATTTTTTCTTCTTCTTCGGTTTTGATACAAAAAATATCGGCGTCGAAAATAAAATATACTGTACAAACCCGCGTTCCATCATCTTTTCATATTCTCTTCGATCTGCTTCATAAGCTTGGGGTCAGAATTTTCTATTTCGCGATCACATTCTTCATCATGGCGGCGCAAATGTACCGAATGTAAGGTTATGTTAGAATAGGTTCAAGTTAGCGTAACAATGAATTTTCTTTTCTTTTATCTCACATGACCCCAAATTTACTGGCATATCTTCCATTCACCTACGTAGGTTTTAAATATTAACTCGACATTTACAGTTACTTATGCTGCTGATTTAATCGCTAGAGAATGATCATACGTCCTTCCGGAAGCTTTCCTCGCATACGAAACACTGAAGTGAGAGATGCTTGGCTTTGGTATAATCGATAATCTCTCCTAGATACACTCTGTAAATGCTAAATCGATAAAAAATACTATTTTCTCCCTAGCTGCTGCCACGTATATATATACAATGTGCACGTTTAAAAGGGCAAGCAGCACGGTCAACGTTGCTCTAGCCACACACTTTTCTTTCTTCTCTTCCTGGTTCAAAATCGAAGAGAACGGATTATAATTACTCGATTATTATTTCGCTCTATTTTAGTTTCTTTCTAATCTGTTTCAATTGACTCGTTTGTTCGTTATTGCAACTGTTGTTGTAACTGTTGACAAAAAGCTTCTCAACTTCCGTGGCTCGATCTCTTCAGTTTTGAGCCATTTCACAATCTTCTTCCATTCGAAACACAGAATTGTTACGCTAAACTGTAAGTTACATTCGTCGACACGCAGAGGTCTTTAGCTTTTCTTCGTCATTTTTCATCTTATCTTAAAATTAACGCGCTCTCGCTGTGCCCCCGTGAGATTTCCGTCGATGGTCGATTTCAAAGTGAACTGTTAATTGACACCGGACACGCCTTAATGCACAAATTTCTCGTGCTAATACATATAACACATAAAAGGTGTCTCTCTAAGTCGGCACACGTTGATTCTCGACTGAATCTGCTGTTCAGAGAATACTTAATACCTTAGCTTTAGCCGCTTCTAAAAAAGCGTATCGATTCGTCACACGTACACCTGGAATGATCCTTTGTTTTCTTTCTTTCTCACGATTTGCGTTTGGACCTTACTGAACGTAAAAATCTCGAAAGGATCGCAGATATTTCCGAATCGATACACTCCGTCGAAACAGAAGACTCAATTATGCAAAAGAATTTCCAAAGATGGCACACTGGACAACATCATCTCGTTCGGTAGAAAAACGTGACACAATAAGAAAGGAATAGAAAAATCGTACGATTAGTCGTGTATGTGTATATATATGTGTGTGTTTTTGTATGTGTATCGCAAAGAACCCAATACTTTCTTTCTCGATTTCGGTAAAAACGTGTAAAAGCTAAACTGCTGGAATTTAATCGTCGTCGTTTTTTTCTTTCTCTGTCTCTTAAATCATTACTTAAATCGTTAAGCATGCGATGGTGTGTACAATACGTGTATGCGTATACATACCTATATATTTATTTATTTATTTATTCATATATATATATATGCTCTGTTGTATACGTAACGTTTAAGTAGGATTCGTTGAATTAGCTGAAAATAGAACATCCTCAACAGTGGGACTTCGATCGAAATACAAAGACACGTCTCTAACGTAACACGTTGTCCCACATAGATAATCGTTATCTAATTCGCAGCTGACTTTCTCGTCGAACGTAGCGAACGATTCGAATTCGTTTCGATAATCGAGGCTCAGATGGCCTGGCGTATCGCAGTATAAAGCTGTAGCATTCTTCTGAACAAAGGAAGATGACATTGGTATTGTATCTATCGGGACATTGAAAAGAGCTACAGTTTCCACTGCCGAAGATTTCGTTTGTACGATTAGAGGCGATGTGACGAACAATGCGTTGTTACTATAGACGGACGTGGCGTTTTAGAAGAGAAAGATGAATAGATTCCTTTAGATTCCTTCTCTCTGGACAAATATTTCAAGTGTGTGTGTGTGTGTGTGTGTGTTTCTTCGCCAGGAATGATAAAAAGCAGGACGAATCCCCTACTCGTGAGAAATGCAGGGAGATAGATTTCGCTTAACAACTGGCTTCCGCTTTTAGTTTTGGTAAAGAGCATCGGTATCGTTCCAAAGTGTCGTTAGGATTGTTAAACAGCAGGAAAAAGGAGCGACCGAGATCTCCGATACGAACTATTTAGGAAACGTTGTCTGATTATTGACAAAGTTACATCTGTAGTTTAGCTCTGGAAGTAGCTTCGATCGACAACAAACCCAGATGTCTGACAATTGTATCCGTGGAATAGAATTGCTTCCTCCAATTCCTGACACACCATCTGGGCCTACGAAATTGAACCCGCAAAGTTCATTGCCTTCGAGCCAATAGGCAATGATAATGGGATCGGAGAGGAAGTTCGAGAGGACTCTACGCACGATGACTCATCCAAAGACTAAGTTAACTTACTTACATATTTATAACAGTACGGAAACGAAAATAAATAGCGGTGAACGTGTTCTGGGGCTGTCGAAGGCGACCAGTTCCCTTTGATCGGCGCAGAAAACGTTCACCTGAAAATGTGCCTGACAGGATGAACTCTACCGGTATACTGGCCATGTGATTAAAATTACAGAAATCTGTGTGTGTGTACATGTGTGCGTGTGTGTGTGCGTTTATAGTCTCACCGAAGACTTTTTGTCTCGCCAGCAAAGAAAAAAAAAGATGCGTTTCTCTTTCGATTATTATATCTTCTCAATTGATCTAGTAATAAATATATACGTCATTAGCTAAGGTTTTCTCTTGGATAAACCTCCCTCGACGATGTATTCAGTCTTCGATGCCTTCCTTGTCACAAATGAGATGCGTCGAAACGTAAACATATATTTCTCTCTCTCTCTCTCTGTTGCTTCACATCTTGGATAATCTCCTCAGGATTGTGTATGTGTGTGTGTGTATGCTATTCTCTGTACGGCGATTAGTACCATTCCGGAGGTGACGTTTCAACGATTAAATGGAAATCTCTGATGGACTGTGTTGACCACACGATTTTAGGGATACAAATCTCTCTTCGTCGAGCATCGACAGACAGCGAAACAGAAGAAAGTCTCCATAAGGACCCATGGTTCCCGTTTCTCTTTCAGCGATCGCTCGATTTCTTATGAGTACAGAATCAACTGGTCCGCCTTCGCTGGCGTCGCGACGCTGCTGAAGTGTTGGAACCATGTAAGTCAGGCGTCCGTCTCGCCTTTCAGCCTGAGACGCGCGAAATCCTCGAAGATTATATCGTCGTCACCGTCCGCCTCCCTGAAGCGAAGCAAGAGAACTTTCAAAAGTTTTCAAATCAATACGACACAACCGTAGAATTGAATACAAAAAAAAAAGGGGGGGGGGGATTCGATCGAACAGAGAATTTCGAAGTTTGAATTCGAACAGCTGAGAGCTGTGCTCTGAGAGATCCAATGGAACTATACGCACAAGGGACTAGTTGTAAGATAAACGCATCTACGTCAGCGAGAAATGATTTCGTCGAAGCGTTCGTAGCTGACGGGAATAGCTCGAAATCGTTACTTAAATATCGACCACATACGTGTCCAATTGAATCAGGTTCGTGCCGAGCGGTATCTCACTACTATCCACCTTCTGTGTGGGACTTGGCCGCGCTGTGGGTGGCGCAGGTTCCTCTTCTTCCGGTTTCGGATGCATCAAGATGAACGGCAGCTCCGCCACTAATTCCCTGTTAACAACGTCAATTAAATTCCACATCTATTTCCTCAATACATATTACGTATACGAATAGAGTAATCGGCTACTTTCTCGTCGAATTCCAAGTATTAACCCGTGTCTGGGCAACCGAAATGTTCACGGTTTGTGCCGAGCTTTAGTATTTCAAATTTCTATTTTGGAAACGTACATCGACGTAAAAATGTCCAAAAAACTGGGGATCCGAGGCGATTTTACGATACTTTCACGAGAACGTAAAAAATTGTTAAAGGAAAATATAGAAATGGGTACTCGATTGCCTGCACAAGGGTTGAAACGTTCAACACGGGGTCTATTTTTATGCTGAAAGCTCTTGCGGTTTTAAGCTGTTCATTTTGAAATAAAAACATAACTCGATTGAAATGAAACATTTTTATTTGAAATAATTTCTATAATTTTCCGTACACTTTTGCCGACATATTTTACAAGAGCATTAATTTTGTATGCAGAAAAATCCAAATTTCTAAGAGAAAGAAACTGGTGGTAGGCGTTTTCAATATCCTCCTGTCTCCTAGATCGTTTTCGTGCTAGGAAATTGTGAAGTGAGGGGAAAAAGTGAAAATTGGATGGAGATAAATCAGGGGGATACGGGGGATGAGGTAGAACTGCAATACTCAGTTGATACAGTTTTTGTACTGTTGTGTTTGCTACGTGCGGTCTGGTATTGTCATGCAAAAAGATAAGGTCTTTTCTGTTGACCACAGCTGGTTGCTGTATACACTTTCAGTTTTTTGTGAACGATCCCCAATTCGTTACTGTATAACTCTGCAGTGATAGTGGTACTCGGCCATAGGAAACTGTAGCAAATTAATTTAAATAGCAACACCAAACTGTGAGCATGATTTTTTTGGGTGAAAGCTATGTTTGGATTGGGGAGACTCTTTGTGTCTTCCTTTCTCTTAGAGATTCGGAATTTTATGTTCGCGAAATTAACGCTGTTGAAACACGTTGGCAAAAGTGTATCGAACATTGTGGAAATTATTTCAAATAAAAATGTTTAATTTCAGTAGTGTTGTGATTTTTCAAATTTTACACAACTGTTTAATATTTTACTGGTTGTTTTTATTTCTAGTCATTCATACTAAGATATTTGTATTTTTTAATGCATTACGCCTAAGTAGAAATTAATTCAGTGCCTTTTTTTCACAAAGTCTTGACGACTTTATTGACTCAAACACGCGATACTTTTTCAAACGTGGAATTCGTTAGTTACCCGATAAATGGAAGTGTGGTCGTCGAAAATAATGGAGATTATTTTGAACGTTAAAACTGTGTTTGATTTTTTGTAAACAAACATCGAAGTTCGTAAGAAAACGCACCGAATTTCTATGCCAAATACGATAAAAATTGTGTCACTAAAATATTTTTTCATTATATGGACCGTTTATTTTGAAAGTGGTGCAAGTCCATTTTCTCTTGTTTCAAGAAAATTAAAGGTTAACATATCTGTTAATTAAAAAATTAAGGCAAATTATATGAAGTCTGGCAATGTTTCTACTGTTTTATCAATATGTAATTTGGTTATATAAAGTTCTTTTAGGCGTATTTTACTAAAATGATGTATACTTACGGGCTGCAAATGGACTTACACCACTTTCATAATCGATGATTATGCAATTTCATTTACCGACCAATTTTAAATTGTACAAAACATGGAAATTTTTTAAGAAATTAAACACGGACTAGTTATACATAAAAAATTTACATTAAATTAAGCATGAATTACGTGATATCTCATTTTTTTCAAAAATGGACTTACACCACTTTCATAATCGATGATTATGCAATTTCATTTACCGACCAATTTTAAATTGTACAAAACATGGAAATTTTTTAAGAAATTAAACACGGACTAGTTATACATAAAAAATTTACATTAAATTAAGCATGAATTACGTGATATCTCATTTTTTTCAAAAATGGACTTACACCACTTTCATAATCGATGATTATGCAATTTCATTTACCGACCAATTTTAAATTGTACAAAACATGGAAATTTTTTAAGAAATTAAACACGGACTAGTTATACATAAAAAATTTACATTAAATTAAGCATGAATTACGTGATATCTCATTTTTTTCAAAAATGGACTTACACCACTTTCATAATCGATGATTATGCAATTTCATTTACCGACCAATTTTAAATTGTACAAAACATGGAAATTTTTTAAGAAATTAAACACGGACTAGTTATACATAAGAAATTTACATTAAATTAAGCATGAATTACGTGATATCTCATTTTTTTCAAAAATGAACTTACACCACTTTCAAAATAAACGATCCATATAGTCATTGTCATTAAATTTCTAAATTCGTGATCTATTAGGTCGTCCAATAAATTCGTGCCATTTAGATCAATACCCCAAACATTCCTTTAAATCGTACGAAAGAATGTAAATAGTCACCCTCTCGTTCCACAACTCCTTCCCATCTTTTTGGCAAAGCCATTATACGTCGCTATAAAATTTCTTCGGTTTTTCATTAAACTTTTTTCAACCTTATTTCTCGCAGAATCGATATTGTCAAATTTTTTGCCCGCTAAAAAAACGTTGTAATGCACGAAACAGATGGCAATGCAATAGGCCAATATCCGCAGAATATGCTGGGTGTGATAAAATGTCCCAATCGAATTCGCGTAATTTTTTACACGTTTCGTACCCCATTATCCCAGTGAAAAATCCCTTTGTTCCGATTTAAGAGTCCCGAACGTTTCACTGCTGTTGCTTCTCTTAACTTTTCTAATTGAGCACAGTACACGTCTGAATGAATCGTTTCATTTCTCGAAAGTAACTTGAAATGCAAAACACATCGTGAAGAGTATGAACGCATCGCGACACGAATTTATTCGACGGCCTGATGCACTTTATTAAAGTTTCGATCATTTATATTCTGAAACGTCAGAATAGAAAGCTCAAAAAGCGTGATCCATCGGTTGGTAAGCCAGACTTGAACGTCTTAAGATATTTGAAGCTCAGAAAAGTAACAGATTACTCACTCGTATACGCGATAAAATTGCACAATTTAATGAAAAGAATTTTCGAAACTTACCCTGCAAGCGGTCCCAAGCAGAGTTTCACTTTTACTTTGTACTGGACGATGATCCCGAGGTTCTCGCGTTGCGAGGGGTCCGCCACACTGCGAAACAATATAAGAATTCGTCGATCTCTTGTCTCCTATTCAATTTCTCAAGTCAAGCATGCGTATATATGTATATGGTTAGCAGAACGAGTTGAATTGAATGAAAAAGCGACAAACATTCACAGCACAGAGGAACGTTCGAAAGAACAGTAGTAGCACAGGGAGAGATTCAGCAGGTAGTCAGCTGGGAAGGCGGTCTTAGCTTCTCGAGACGGCAAAAGGAAGCCTTGAAAGCTGCTAGAATAGTATCATGCAGCCCGGAAGCAACAAATGCAAAGCAACCATTCAGACAAGAAGAAGCGTAGGAATAGGGTATCGATTTTGTCTAAGCATCGTTGCTTACACGTCTGGGGCTCGTATGGTTCGATTGTGAGCTGTATGGTTAAAGCTGGGCTTGGTTCGATTGCTCGAAAAGTATCTGTACTCTTTCTTCTATTATTTCGAAAATATTTGGATTATTTCAAAGGAGTTACATTTCGCAATTTCGTTTCAAGAAGAAACGAAATTATATCGCATTGGTAAACAACTTCGAAGCTTCAACCGTACTTGTTCTTTCCTTCTTTTCTTACGGTGTGGAGGATTTGCAGCAGTGTAGACGAAGCAAAATCAGTCTCGGACTAAAGAAATGGTATCTAGATTTTTAACGATCCACCTGATCTTTAAATTAATAATAACTGAAAATCGGTCCAGAAATACGTATATGAGTGCTCTAGTGAAGCGGCTATACGCGATGCCTAAGTTCTCGCCCAAAAGACATGTGCCAGTCAGCTATTTCTCGTAGAGAGAGAGAGAAAGAGAGAGAGAGAGTGTGAGAATGAGTGAAAGTGAAAGAGATGGAAGAGAGAAAGTAAAGATAAGGAAATGATCGAAGACACGACACGTTGTTCACGACTTCTCGCCTCGTTCCTCGGCGGAACTACGATGGTCCGTTGTTATCGCGAATTGGCCGCGATTATTTGCATAATTGCGTGCAATTATCGTCACGCCGCGTCTTCATCGTCTTATCGAAACTAAGAATGCACGGTAATTGCCTCGCCACGAGCAACGCGCCGCTTGCTGCTCTTTTTCGCTCGCCGACGTCCGCTGTAATTTCGGGCTATAAATCTCTCGATCTATGATCTGTTTGTTGAATCAAAGCAGCGCAAAAGTTGAATGAAACAATATGTTCAGGGGAAAGAAAATGTGAACGATGGGCAGTAAGTGTTGTTTATTAATTTTCGTGGAAGCTATACAGAGTGAACCACGTAAAACAGGCCACCTAATTATCTTCTCTAGTTACGGTGGTACCAGAAAATTTTTATACGTAATTTAAATGATTAGGAAATATTCTTTTGATAAATATCATTTTTTTAAATTTACATTTGGACTCTAAAATTTTTAATCAAATTTTTCATTTTTTGTCATTTCTTGCATAGAAAAAAATGGTTCATTTAGGTGGCCCATCTTGTATATATCGGTAGTTCAGGAGAAAAAGAATTTCTGAATTTTCGTTCGAATGTACGGAAAATCGCATTTCTTTCTATTTTCTTTTTTAAATTTGCATAATAGTTTGACTTTGAACTCGTAAGATTTTTAATCAAATTTTCATTTTTTGCCACTTCTTCCATCAAAAAAATGTTTCTTTTAGGTGGTCCATGCTGTATATATCGATAGTCTAGGAGAAAAAGAATTTCTGAAATCGCTAACTAAATTAGACAGTGAAATTGTATTCGTTAATTGCTTCTTCTTTTAAAATATTAAAGTAGGTTAAATTGCTCCTAATTATTTTTCCGCAAAAAGAAAGTGCATCTAATCGAATTATTCCCGGAACAAGTCCGCTTCTTCAATTAATTAAGCAAACATAATTTCATTCATTTACGAGCCAGTTAGTTGCTGAAGCGACGTAACGTAGGAATTCACGCGCCGTTATATTTCCGCGACGACTGCGAAAGTTTCGTTTCTTAAGACAAAAATTAGAGCACGGGACTAGGGAGAGAAAGAAAAGAAGAGAAAGAGAGAGAGAGAGAGAGAGTGCAACGCGATCAAATCGACCCGGAACACGAAAGAAAAATGCGTGTCTCGCTTCTGAATATAGATTCGCGGGCGGAAGAGACGAGCGGACGGCATGAAAGCGAGCAGACAACGCGTCTGCTATTTTCGATCCGGTGAAATACACCGTTTGGAATAATTGGCGGGCATCGATAAACTGAATATACCGCGTCAGAGGATAAAATCACGTTCTCACTGAATCTAACCCTTTATTTTACGACATCGAATCGAATTCGTTCATCGCTATCTGTAATATTCGTAGTAAAAATTTTCTCTCTCGAAGTTCTAACACGTCCACGTTGCGTAAAATTGATTTCTCAAAAGTCCAAGTATTCTCGAAAAATTTAGCCGTTCGTAGAACGTTAATCGACGTGAGTACTTGAAAGTGCATCGAAGAATGCAGAAGGTCGTCTAAGAAACGTACGCAGACTTGTATCCACTGTCTACCATCAGTGCCAGAAAAGAATCACCATCAATGTCCGTTCAAACATCGATGAGGCTACTAACTGCAGTTACCGCGCGACGACTGGTTTACAAATAATGGACGCTGTTTACATTGAGAGTGAACGAGACCACTACGGGGGCCTACAGAGGCGAGCTTCAAAGGGAAACATAAAACGCGACAGTTAAAACGTAGTCTGGCTGCTCAATTTGAGACACTCATCACGTCTGGAACGCTGAAAAAGACAAAAGTCACCCTTTCGCGTTCCTCGAAAACAGAAGCAATACGAAGCACGAAACGCTTCTTTGCAACCGTTGAAACATTTTATTTCGTCGACGAAATAAAAATGTTCCGAAATATCGTCGTCTATACGGTGTTGGAAACTTCACAGTGCAAGATAATTCGTAGATTCGTAGGTGTTCTTTTGGGTACACGCAGAATCTAGGCTCAAGAAGTCGTGACTAACTGCGTGATTAGCTCTCTTGATGTTTATGGAGACAGAGGAAGAGAGAGAGAGCGCCAGAGCGAGAGAGAGAGTAAGAGAGAGAGAGAGAGAGAGAGAGAAAGAGAGAGACAGAGGCACGTACACTCAGCGCTGATCAAAAGTTTGGGTACCACACTGAACATCTTCATTCATCATCCAAACCACGAGTAAATCTGGACAAAGCAGAACGAAGCACTATCCAATCAAACTAACGAAGCACATTGACTAACAAAAATGTAATCAAGCGATATGATAAGGTTTGCGGAAAATAATTGGAAGGGTTTTGGACAATCTAGGAGCTAAAGATATGAGGAGGTACCAAATTGGACCCTCTTGTGACCCAAACTTTCGACCAGTTCTGCAGATATACATATATGTATATACGTATATATATATATATTCAGGCGTGTGTTTGTCTATCGACAAGCAGCGGTTTTCTTACAGGGTGCTGGACGCCAGATTGGTGTCCTCATCTCTGATCTGGCCATCGAGGGCAAGCCCCCATTTATCTTTGTTGTTGGCGAGAAGCGGTGTCAGAGAGAACACTTTGCTCAGCGTGAAACCTGGCCCCACTTGGCACCCCTCCCTGATAAACATGTAGCAGAACAGTGAAGGTATAAACGTGCCACCGGACCTGAATGCGTTCCGGATCATACGGACGGATATCCGGCTGATCCGGACCGTGTTTCTCTCGATTTATCGACCGCAACAATAATCGCGCGAATAAATTGGTTTCTACGAGGATACTTCGAGTCTGACCTGTCTTCTGTGACGTGTTCTGCCAAGGGTGATGCTAATTGTTCTCTGAACAGTGTTCAAACATTGACTCTCTCCTCGAGATCGGATTTTAGACAGATTGTTCGTGTTCGGATCAAAGTAAAATTCGACGTGTTCAGTTGTCCGTGTAGTTTAATTATGTTCGTGTGTTTTTCTTCTTTTCTTCCTCGTACTCTATTTGGAGCCCCAATAATCGCGTTTGCAATTTAGATTTTCTTCAATTTTTAGAGAAATTAACAAATATTTCCAAGTTAAAAGCCGCGAGATACAGTTTTCCGCGTTGCAGGGACTCGAATAAAACCGGGATCGACGTGCTTGAATATCGCAAAAACGGCTCTCGTAGCTCTCCGGTGACATGTAGCATCGTCAAAACGATATCGAGGAAGCCGGCTGGCCTCAATATCGCAAAAGATTCCATAATTTGAAAGCTCGGTCACGAGAGACCCGCGTCGACTTCAATCTCGTGGCTGAGGCAGAACAACGATAATAAGCTACGTGACACGCGGACTCTCTCCTACTATAACCTAACTATAACCCCTCTGTGTATACGTGTCTCTGTATATTTGTTTGCGTGTGTGTGTATGTATGTGTGTATAGTACAAGAAACTTCAGCTTGTGCGTCACACTGCAATACAGACTACATGGATATACAGGGCAGGGGTGGGGAAAGAAGAGCGAGAAAGAACGAAAAGTGAGACGAACAGAGAGACAGGGATGAATCAGGGGTGTTTCGATCGATCAGCATATCAATTGTGGAAAAAGAGAGATAGAGATAGAGAGAAAGAGAGACAGAGAGTGAGAGTGAGAGAGAGAGACAGACATGTGGAGATAACAGAAAAATAAAATGAGAAGAGTGTGTGTGGTGGAGAGGGTTTAGAGGGAGGGACGTGACCTCTGTACGTGGGAAAAATAGGCCACCACCGATGGAGTTTCCATATCCATAGAAGAGTCCCCAGCAAAAAGGCCATCAAGGAAAATACTGGTATTCCATTTTGATATAGTGTTCCCATACAGTTCTCGTAACTCAGTTTTTTCCACGACACGAACATTCGCGAAGAATGGAAACGGGCTACGGGATCATTCGAATAAGAGTGAAAAAACGTTGATATCTAGAGAAGAGACCACGTGAATAGAGACCTGCTCTTGTAGGCAGAGAAAATTATGAGCGGGGGAAAAAAAAAAAGAAAGAAAGAAGCCGGTGAGTATTCCAGACCATCCATTACTCATTCAACCGGCAACACACAGCCGCACCACGGAGAACAAATCTGAGATGAAGCTATTCGCGTTGAGTTTTCCAGGATCATTTGGCCCGTTTCCAGTCTTTCACTATGAACATTTGTTCGCTTCAGACAAGGGGTGAGAAGGGTGGAGACAAAATGGTACGCGTCGAATGTTGTTGAGCACTCACATTGTGCTAGATGCGAGATTGGTGTCCTCGTGCTTAAGTTGACCGTCTAGAGCAAGACCTCGCTTGTCTTTGTTGTCAGCAAGCGTCGGCCTTAGAGAAAAGACCTTGCTCAGGGTGAATCCTGGCGCTACCCCTATACTGCCAGTGCAATCATCTTATTTTCCGTTTCGTCATATCACTATTCCTTTTGTTTTGTTTTTAAAAAATTTTTTCTTAATTTTTTACTCGCGTATTTTTATTCGCATACGCACAACGCACCTAGCGATTAGCAACTATACAATCGGGGACTCGTTGTTAGCTACGTCTCCTTTTCTGTTTTTTTTTTTTTTTCATTTTTTCCAATTGTTACTAAATCATCGTTTCATCGAGTTCTATTATTAGAAAAGCAAGCGTTCCAGTTGATTCTTTCTGGTCGATTTAAAATTAGACTGGAACGCTGGCTGAACGTTCTTCGATAAGGGACGCGCAGAAACCAGTACAAGGCGCCGTTGATACGGATTATCCGGCGTTGCATCGAAATTTATTGCAACATGGTTGCAATTTACGTCTTCCTGCGCTAGGTCTCGATAGATCTCGAACAGCGGCTCGTGCCTGGTCACGTTGTTGAATGTATTACTCGTAAATTTCTCAGTGACCACCTTTATAGCGTACAGAATAGACGTATAGCTGTTTGCTATTTAAGGATATTGAACTTCTTGGAAAATAAAACGTCTTCGAGCTGCATACGTCCGCGACGATAGATCAATCGTGACCGGACACGAGACAGAAATTCACCCGACGACCGGTATTACGCGAGAAAAATTTTTTCTTAGAGGCTGTCGTGAAGTTTCGGCGACAAATGGATCCGTGCTTTTTACGCCACGTTAATTTGTAACAAAAAGAAAAGACTTCTCCGACCGGCTACAGAATTCGTCGTTAATTTCACCCGACATTCGCACCTTCAAAAACGGTCCATAAATAACTCAACTTCGCCTATTTTGCTGCCAGCTCATCTTCCGAACTTTCCTACCGGCAGCGCACGTTTCACAATTCGAAAGAAGAACTATATCACGGCGTAACAGCGAAAGTTCTATCGCGAACAATGTACCGGGTGTTGCAACTTTCACAGGGACCCATTTGTAGCCGCGTGTTCACGCAGCACGGGCAACATGTTTCGCGTATGATGTCGAGAATAATGGCGTGCATTGAATGATACTCACTCGCTCTCCGCCATAGCGACCGTGCACTTGTACTGCGCGGTGGAGAACAAACAGATCTCCGCGAACTGCCTCACAGACACTTTGATCTTCTTCACCGTCCGGTTGCTGTTGTTCGCGATGTACACGTTCACGGAGATGTTCTCACCGTGATGGTACAACTCCTTGTCAAGAGACGCCTCCAGGTGAAGTTTGTTAGGCGACATCACGAACTCTTTGTTCACCTCGACGGTTGGCTGTTCGCCTTGCTTAGACGGTGCGTACATGATCTTCCGGATCGCCAGACGCACCGAGTTTCTGCAACATGGTGTTTTATGGAGGTTAGAGGTTTTCTTGGTGTATTAGCCTCGCACTGCGACATTCTGTGACTGTGCATAAAGAATATTCTTGTTGCTAGCGTATATCGGATGGTACCGACAGAAAAGAGATGCCCCAGGTCTTGGAGAAAATTTTCGGTACAATTTCGCTGGGAAACTTCTCTATCGAATTCATACTTTCGTACGGAAACGTAGAAAAATCAATCTTCCGAACCCACCTAGCTATAGCTCTACCTAGCAGCACCTCTCCAACAAAGGAGCATCTTCAAAAGGAGATATTCCAAGAATCTCCTTACTCTACAAAGCCGACGAGGAGGAGAAATACCTCAAAGAAACTATTCATACACTATCTACCTCATTCCATTGAAACTTTGCATAGCAAAAGGGTTAAAGGGACCGACGATCTAGCTAACGCAAAATCGATCGGCAAATATTACCTAGAAACACCAATGTTTGTGTGCCATAGCTTTGACTGTGAATTTTCGCAACGATTGAACGACAAGGGAATATCCCCTGGTGATAATCACCGATATCGATGAAATTTTGGTATACAGGGTGTTCGCGATAATTTGTACCATCGTTTTTTTCCTAAACGGTAAACATGAGACAAAAACCGAAGAGGAGGAAATTGTAGTATATTTTACTAGCAATATGATAGCGTATCTAAATTTTTTGTATTTCATTTTTTTAAATGGAATGCTACATATTTTTTTACATCACATGAAAGCGGGCGTTAAGACGAGTTCAACCATGTAGTATACTATGGTCTTCAGGGTCATATAAGGGCAGAAATAAAAGAAATAAATTTAACATTTCATTAACATTAACATAACAAAAGAAGCGTGTGCATCCATATCTAGTGCAACATTGGCAGAAACTACCGGGAGTGTGGTCAGCAGAACTCAGAAATGCATTCTTCCTAATGGAAGTCACATTGAACACGAGATGTAGACTTATCACTACAACATACTAGTAAATACAATATTACGAAATGTTTTACGTTCGTTCACACGAAATATTTGGCGACATATTTGGGGTGAAAATAAAAAAAATATTTCGTCCACATTGAAGGGGTGAAAATAGCCCTAAGAAATGAGAGTAATAAACATATTTGGTCAAAATTATTTTTTATTTTTCAAAATTGTTGAAAAATGTTGAAAACTTCACCCCTTCATTATGAACGATTACCAATATGAAAAAATACGTGTCGAATATTTTTTTGAGAACTATTATACTATATACCAAAGTTTCATCGAAATCAGTAAATTACTTTTAAAATGTTTCCTTGTGAGTTTAATTAAGTGAAGACGTTTTGCAAATTAAATATAACGGACTGTATGTTCGTGTATAAGTAGCAGACCTTTGTTTACAGGACTAGGTACATTTTTACAAAGTATAATTTACGAGTGTTTTAAATACAAGAATACCTTAGGTATGTACTGTTTGAAAGATGTGTGCTACATTTAAATTTAACTAAATTCCTATTGACTGAATGGTTTTCTGATGAGTAGATATATCTAAAGCCTGATCGGTTGTTGTACGTGTGTCTTTATATAAAAGAGAGGATAAAAAGAGTGGGAAGTGGCAAAACTACAAATATATTTTTCTCTTTCCTAATTTCTTCGGGGCACCTGGCAAACTAAGATTTGCAATCGTCTACGTTTGAGGGATGAACCCTTTCGCTGTGGAGCAAAAGATACTTGTACTGTCCAAACTGCGACGTGGGATTATGTATTCCTTGTTTTAAAATATACCACACAAAGAGTATATATTAATCAATAACTAAACAATTATACGAAAAATCCACATACGACCATTTCCTTTCTTGTCAATTTTATGGTATTTTGAAGTGTCTTCAAATATAAAAAAATACGCATTTTTATTGTTGAACGTCATCTTTTCAATCAACAGCGAAAAGGTTAAGTTGCAAACTTTACCTAAAAATTGAGAGTTCCTGGCGACTCGAAACGACCTAACGACTAAGATTCGCGAGTAATCGAAAAATCGTACCGTTTTAGCGGCTTGTTGTCCTGCGTCTCGCCAACGAACGCTTTCAATTCGTAGTCGACGCCGCATGGTTTGCCCGTATCCCCTGGCGCCGGTTGCAGCGTCACCGACGCCGGACAATGGGGCGGAAGCTCGAAGTAGAACGGATAAGCATTGCTCCCTAATTTCTTGATCAGCTTCTCCTGTAGCCGTGTCAGCTTCCTCTGTTGAGCACCGGGCAGCACTGGATAAATCTGTTCGGAGGCTAGATAGAGGTCCTTGCGAAATGTTAATCCTAGGACGTCCAGATCCTCTCGGCCGTACTTGAACACGGCGAGAACGTGGCCGAAGACCTTGCGATCCTTCGCGTAGTCCGGGTCAATCAGCACGATCCCGGCTGTAACGATCGAACGGCGATCGGTGAGCAGTGTGTGGTTTAAGTGGCCTTGACGCGCAAGATTAACCGGCTATTCGAGTGAATCGAATTTTCCAGTCGGTCTTTCGCAGTTAACACGTTAACCGGGGTGAGCTTGTCGCGTTAGTTAGGATCCAATTATTTCTGATATTGCAAATTGAAGTTGAAAATGTATTCTCGAGGAATAGACGGATAATTTACGGATGGAAATATTATACTCTGTTACGCGTTCCTTCCGCTCGAGTACCCTTCGTTCGTTATTCTGAAACTTTCACGAGTTAACTCATCATCCCCGGTTAACAAAGTTAAACACCTCCGTAGTAATAATTGGATTAACCTTTGACCGAAAGGACGAGAGGTACCCATGTTTCTCTACTCGAAACGAAGTTCCACAATGAGAGAGAGAGAGAGAGAGAGAGAGAGAGAGAAGATCGAGCACTGTACAGAGACTCAACAGGTAGATGACTAATGAGGCTAATCAGGTAGGATCTAGGAACAATGTTGGAATGGCTGGAAGCCCTATCTATCACTCGGGAGTTAACAAGACTGTATTCTGACGAAGGAAAACTTTCGATTCTTATGCAAAGACGAGGCTTACCTATAGGATCAACGTGGGTTATGTGATCGACGAAATCTCTTTTTCCAAGGTATACCGTGATCTTTCCATTGACGCTGGATTTCTTGTAGACACGAATAGCTTGCCGCTTGCTGGCACTGTCCACAGTGTCCATCACGCAGATCTCGGGCCTTAAGATGGCCCCAAACTCATTTGACTCCTCAGGCTCCGAGCACTCGGATTCTGAACTGTCCCACTGCACACAAGAAGAAGAAGACATAGATTAGAAATAGAAAATCTGGACGTTAGAATTTTCTGATTGCACATCCAAGTAACGTCCAAGAGAATTCTTTAATTAAAGGGAGGTTATATTTATGCTTGGAAATGACACGAGCTAAAAGAAACACGCGACATCGAACACTTGTGTATATATTTAGATTATTACGTTCTTTTTGCGAGTTATAAATGAAAAATTTCTTCGACTCGACGTTTCCCTTCGATTTGCGAGAGCTACCGGTCAAAGCCCTTCCATGAGTCTATTTCGAAATCTCGCCAAAGTTTTGTAGAATTTTCTACCTTGATATTTCTTGTCGTTCACGTAGAAACAACAGAGCTCTTGAAACTTTCGTTGCCGAATTTTCAACGAGGTATGGCCGCATTTTCCGTGACACGAGCCTCTGCTACGGCACTGGCATACTCCAAGTGCTCAAACACGCAGCACGCACGCATTGTGAATCGACAAAGCCGGCTGCATACCGTAATGCACGCCAAAAAGGACGTTCGTCATCGTTCTTTGAGAACGGCGCGCGTAAAACGACTCTTTGATCGGCTCAACGTCAAAGAACACGACTGCACTGAGGCTGGTATCAAAAGGGAATGTCAATAATACACTTATTTCGCTTCCTCTTCCAAGATTTCTCTCCTCTTTAAACATTCCAATTTGATTAGATAATTATGAATGGAGTACAATTTGAGTAGAATTGGATGATTCTAAAACCAGTAAACTTGATTGACAGATTTAGTATTAAATTCGAAGATTCAAATTTGACGGGATAATTGTAAATTCAATTTAAAGACTCTAAGTCTATTGCATGATTTCGAATTAAATTTAAAGATATAAATTTGATTGAATAATTTTAAATGCAATTTGAAAATGCAAATTTAATTGGACGATTTTCAATTCAATTTGAACATTCAAATATGATTGCATGATTCCGAATTAAATTTGAAGATTCAAATTTGATAGGATAATCGTGAATTCAATTGAAAGATTCTAATTTTATTGCATGATTTCGATGCAATAAAATGCAAATTCGATTGAATGATTTTGAATCCAATATTGAAATTTAAACTTGATTGGCAGATTTAGTATTAAATTCGAAGATTCAAATTTGACGGAATAATTGTGAATTCAATTTAAAGACTCTAAGTCTATTGCATGATTTCGAATTAAATTTAAACATATAAATTTGATTGAATAATTTGAAATCCAAATCGAAAATGCAAATTTGATTGAATGATTTTAATCCAATTTGAACATTCAAATTTGACGAAATAATTTTGAATTTCATTTGAATATTCAAATTTCATTGGATAATGTTGAATTCATCTCGAAAATGCAAAATTACATTGGATAATTTTGAAGGAGAACCCAATCAAAATCATGAAACGCAGCATTCTTTCGTTTTCAACATTTCGACACAATTTTTCAGCCTTTTTCGGGGGAAAAGTCCCCAAATTAACAAAAGACGCGAGATAGTTCAGTGTCTGGAAAAATTGCTAACTCTCGAACGCTTCGAGACAGCTCGCAAGACTTACGAAGCTTAGCAAACTCACCGTCTAAGAAGGATTCGAAGTCTGGAAAGTCTCGAACAATGACAACGGCTCAAATGTTAAATAACTATCTGCTAATCCTAGAGGCGTGATTCTGACTATTACCGACGAAAGATTTCAAAGTTCGAGACACTTTAACGACAGTACATTCCAACTTCGTATCTTTAAATATCATTGGTATTAATTTATTCGACAATCCTTATTCCAGACATTTACGTCGATACGCCAGTTTTCTCCACACTCGTACATTTTACACGAATCATTCTCTACGCAGCTGTTACGACGAGAAAATTCAATTTAAAGTTTCAAACTTCATCGAATAATTGTGAATTCAATTTTGAAATTCAAATTTTATCGCGCGATTTCCAATGAAATTTCAACATTTAACGTCGCAAACGACGAGAATTAACCTCGTAAACAATTTTACTCCTCTCGATAAATCGACGAATGAAATTTCGTCTACCATACACAAGGATACCTCTTTATCTCACGTGACTAACTGATTAATCTAATTCCAAGAAAAGCACGATTAATTAACGCAATGACAAGGTGATATTGCACCTTATCGTTATCGCCGAATGATTCATATACGTATTAGCTTTCTCACGATGTACGGTGATTACCACAACAGATCGGTATCTTCACCTTTGCCATCCTCGATTATTCGCCGGTTTTCAGTCCTCGCAGGTGCCTCTGCGATTCTTCTACTCAAACAAGAGAACTCGCTGAACTAGCGAAACAAGATAATCTAATCGCTGGAACGCGAGTAATCGTTTTTTAAAACGGACACTTCGTTGCGGTAGCTTTTCAAAACGGACACTTCGTTGAAATTGCCGTACAATCCGATTCTCTGAAACTCCTTTCGCGCTGATACTTCACCTTCCTCGAACTCTACGATCCAATTTTTATCCCCCGTCTTCGAGAAATACCGATCTGTTCGGGGTTTTCAGTCGAAATTGTTCACGCGGTGTTGCAACAAAGAGGCAAGAGCAGCTTTTCAGCAACGACTGTTCAGCACAGACTAGACGAGCCTTGACAAATGGATGTCAATTTCAATCGACGCTCGTGTTACTCTTAACGCGATCTATGGAATGATCTGTGCTCGTTCGAGCATGTTAGTGGACGTTAGGAAAGGTTCTGTATAGCGTAAGGATGCTGATGCAACGGTGAAAATTCGCTTTTCCGGGAAACAGAAATCGTTTTAATAATTTATTCCATTTGTACCTCTGTTTCTCATCTTTCGTAATACTACGGGTTAATCCTTTGAGAATTACGAATGCATATCTGCGTTCGAGGTAATGTCGTTAATGTACAGGGTGGACAAGAGGTCGGGTACTACTTTTGTGAAAATGGTTTAATTTGTGTTTCTTTTCTGCAAACCTTTAACCCTTTCGTTACTATTGGCGCCTATAGGCGTTCTGAAAATTTGCGAACACAATACTGTTCGAGCCTTTTGGCGCACTTTCACCTTAATTTGATCCACCAAATTTTGAAACGATACGGTCAAAATAACAAATTTTCCAGCCGTGATTCAAAATTTACCGTCAGTCAACCACGTTACGCATTAAAATCTGCCGTAGCGAAAGGGTTAAGATGAATACAGAGAGGCGTGTAGCAATAGTCATCTGGCGTGTTCAAGGAAAGAGGCGCAATGTAAATCAGAAGTAAATTTGAAAGTAAATTGAAGAAAAAAGGACCAGTAGATAGGACGATACGCAAAGTAATGAAGAAATTTGAACGAACGGGTTCTGTATATGTTGAAATAAGAAGTGGACGACCACGTATGTACGTCAGAGGATAACGTGAGTGCTGTGAGTCAAATCGTCAATGAAAATGCATGCGTGTCTCTTCGTACGGCAGCACACAGACTCAATCTTCCAAAGAGATTGGTGCGCAGAATTCTGAAAGTTAATTCGCCAGATAACTATTGCTACACGCTCCTCTGTGTTCCTTCTTAATTGTTTGCAAAAAACAAAAAAGAATTAAACCATTTTCATTCAAATAGTATGCAACTTTTGGTCCACTCTGTATAAGTGTATACCCTAATTAGTTGAATTAAAACACTTTTTCCAATTAATATACATAATGGGCCACGTAACGGGCCATCTAATTACCTTCTCTAGCTTCTGGTGGTACGAGAGACTTTTATAAAAAATTTTTATATGTGATGCTGAATCTACCATAAATAACGATACAGGAGGATAAATTGTGTATCCAGCTATTGGTCTAATTAGAAGTAAATTTCTTGAAATTAACAAAATCAAAATCTAATATTATTTATCCGAGGAAATGCCATATATGGTGAATCCATTATTAAAGAAATTAATCAATTTCCAAATTCTCCAATTATAAATGGTATAACTGTGGTTGTAAAACACTTGTTAACAAGTCTACTCTCAGATATCAATAGCAACGCGCTTCCCCTGTTTTACACCCAGTTACCCTGTATGATCCGCTCGTTTACCAAATCTCGAGAGCATTCGATATATTCACTACATTCACGCCATCACTCACATCTTATTATTAAACCAATTCCACAATAACTACAAACAAAATGATTACAAAAGCACAATAGAATTATAAATTTGATTCTTAATTCTATAAGAACAATTATTCTCAAAAATAATATAAATTATCCCAATATTCTTATGACTTATAGAAAGAAAACAGTCTGTAATTAGTTTCTGTACGAACGTAACGGGTGTCCTGGTATGCAGGGTGTACACCTAATTATCTTCTCTAGCTTAAATGATTTCAAAGGGTGAATAAGACGGAAGAAAAATTGTTTCGATGGAAGAAATGGCGGAAAAAAAGAAGAAAGGAACTTTCAGATCCCACTAAAAATTTTAGAGTCCAAGGACACACAAATTTTATATAAATATGTAATATCACATAGTTTCATTTATAAGTTAATAGTGTATAATATATTGTCTTTAAATGAAATAAGTTGGTTGTTAAAGAAAATCTGCGGTTTTGTTCGTCCGTAGAGATAGGTATATAAGAAATGTCCGTAAACCTAGTGTTAAGGCCATATTATTACGCATGCTTAAATGCTCATACAGTAGAAACAAATATATACATACATGCAAAGAAGCATAGATCACCTTGAAACACAAACCAGAAAATATGGCATTTATAAAAATACTTTTCTTCCGTCATATTTACCCTCTGAAACCGTTTAAACAACGTATACAAATTTTCTCCTGCCACCGTAGCTAGAGAAGACGATTAGGTAACCCGTTTTACGTGGCCCACGCTGTATAATATAGCGCCCACTCAGAAACTACCCTATTATCCTTAACTGTCATCGCAAAACACTTGTCGTCCCTGTATTATTGTTTTACATAATTCTAATGTCCTGAGTATTCAACTGTTCCGGTTAATACGAATAACATATGGAGGAGAAGTAAACGATAAATCTGA